CGGGTACTGGAGATGCGTCTACTTCAAGGAGGACTGCTCCATCATTTACCTGAGGCCTTGGTGCTATCCGCCCAACTTCCTCAACTCCTTGAGTGATAACCCGAGGAAGTGTCGGGACGAGATGGAGAAGTACCATCAGATCACCAAGACGGAACATGCCCGCGAGGTGGTGTCCGTTCCATGCCATAGGTGCATGACGGCCCATCCGGTCGGCGCTCACCTGTGCACCGCCTGCTACCTTCCCAACTTCTACGATGGCGTCCTGCCCACCGGAGACACGAACGGCGGCCCTCGCACGATAGCGAGCACTGACGGGTTGGTTCCTCCCTGGCTGGCAAAATACGCGGGCTTCGTCCCCGCTCTGTGGAACAACTCAGACGCCAACGCCATCGGAATGGCCCTCTACTCGCAGAGTCCCGCCGTCGATGCCCGGTCCTTGTTGATGTCTGGGATGCGGCCTCCTAAGTACCTTGACAAAGAGGACGTGGATGGCATTTTCCGGAAACTTCACGACTCGCTCCGAGACGAAATCCTTGACGGCAAATACCGTGACACGGTCGACAGCAACGTGGAAGAGTGGGTAGCAAAGGCGATCCTGGTAAGGGGTCTGGCCTTCAACGGGAGCTCCGTCCCCGAATTCTTCGAAGAATATGAGGGATATGCGGCTGAGTGGGGCAGACGCCTAACCACCGCAACCTTCAACGCCAACCGGTGCGGTTTCTACACGTCCTACTACATTCTTGAGGCCCATATCATTGGGCTGAGAACAGGACACCTTTCTCCGATACTCCCCCACGATGTGTCCGGGGAGGGATTCAAGTTCCAGGTGGGGCTGCTCGCACAGCACTGCGGGATATTGCAGGCCATGCGGAGAAGGGCCGGATTCGATCCTGCCGCGCGCCTCAAACGGGCTATGGACACGATACGGGAAGGCATTAAGAAGGGGTATGTCTACACCCTCAACGACCTCAGCAGTATGGACGATCTGATCTACCGGACGTCCACCGTTGCCTACGACACCTGCTTGGCCGACCGTCCTCAAACCCAGGATGACATCAAACAGGAGCTATCCGACCCTGTACCAAGGAAATACCGCTTCCGACCCCGCGATCGCCATCGACCCGGAATTCGCCTTACACCAGGCCCCGGCGTGAAGGACGAAGACGAGCCCGACTTTGCTGGATCAGCGGAGGATGAGCTGGGATCGGATGGTTCTTCGCACGAAGATGACGAGAAGCCTGACGACCTTGACGAGCCCATGGGCGACGACGAGGAGGAGATCCCTCCCCCTCCGCCACCGCCCCCGGCTCCTCCTGCGCCGCCTGTCCCGGTAGAACCGGAGACTCCCGTGGTGCCGCATGCAGGCGTCATTTCTGGCGATGCTGTGCCAACTCCTCCTCCTCCTCCTCCCGCTCCCATGGCGGCAGGCGTTACTACGACTGGGGATCCGTTTGAGGAAGAGGACATGGCCATCAATACTCGTGTCCCTGACACCGAGTCCGAGCTGGAGGGTGAGTCCGACCAACCCAAGGCCAGAAGGACATCTCGTGGTCGGGTCCCCGCGCCCGAAAAGGGGCAGGGGGGCGTTCAGGTCCCGCCTAGCGGGCAACCCAGCTCTAAGAGCATGGCCCAGCCTGCCCGCCCATCCCCGGTCCCCGCGAGAAGCGGTGTGGAAGGTGGGGAGAGAAGGGGCAGGACTAAGGGTTTCTACACCCAGAAGGATCCCTTTACCGGCGAGGACGCGACTCCCCGAGTTCGTCTTCGATCGGGCGGTCCCGGAACTCCTGCGTCCCCACCACGGGATGCCACCGGTTCCTTGGGCGGCCATCGCGGCTATGACCCGCGTGATGACGACAACGACGAGTGGGAGCTTCCCCCGGGTGTGCCTCGGACCACTCGTGCGGCAGATGAGTCGCGGCCCCGACGAGATGACGATCGGTCAAGGACCGCGCTTGGGGCCCGCGAGGATCGTCGTGGTCCTAAGGGTGAGGGGAAGGGTCGAGGAAAACATCGACCTGGCAAAGGAGGACGTGAGGATCCCGGCCCGCCCCGACAAAGGGATGATCGTGGCAGGGACACCCGCGGAGGCCGACGCGATGATCGCCGACCTCCTCCACGTCATGAGGAGACCTCCGAGAGGCGCGGCCCGGGGCGAGATGAGCGCCGCGGGCGTGATGACCCGGGCGATGACCGTCGCGATCGCCACCGGGACCGGCGCAGGGATGACCGACGTCACCAATCAGATCCCCCTCCGCCTCGCCGACCTCCGGCTGGCGACCACAATAGGGGTGGTGGTGAGGATCGCCGTCGGGATGGAGGAGGTGATCGAGGTGACCGTGGTGGACGCCGAAGAGACGACGGCCCAGGGACCGGGAAGAGCCTGGTTCAGGGTGGTAGACGGGTACCGCAATCAGCATCCGCCTTAGAAGGGCGAGGATAGTACGTGTGTCGCCGACAAACGCGACCGCGCCGGTCCTCCTCTCGCCCGTGCAGCGCTGCTGGGGGTGATGACCTCCATTGCCCTGTACCGCTGATCCGGCGTTGCTCGTGTCCCTCCCGCACCGCTGCCGTGCGCGCCGGAGATGGTTCCCCTGGCGATCCTGTGTGAGGCTGTGACCGCACTAGAAGTGTCGGACCGGCCATAGCCGGATATTTTCACACCAATTTCGGAGCTTCCGTTTCTACTTTCCTCCCAACTCGACTCCTCTTCCAACCGTTCCACGGCGTGCAGTGAGGCGCGGTGATCCAGATAGGATCCCCCTCCGCATGGCATCGTCCCATGACAACTCATGAACGGCACGAGAGGAATCTTCGTCTGGTTCCTCCAATATGTCTTTGTTCACTCATGTGGTCCACTCGTCAAATAATCCTGTCGCCCCGATAATTCGGGGTGGTGGCGGGATTTTAACTGGGGCCCAGGTGATGCCGTTTGGCTCACCTCTGAGTTGACACCGGCATTTTTGGTTGGTCCCTTTCGTCGTGAACTCAACTGTCTCGCATCCTTTCTCTCGTCCAGATATCGGATGAGGGGGGTGTGTTTTGTTCACGTGTTGTTTCATCATGTGGCAAAACGGCCGAATGGCCGTTTGGCTCAAGATTTCAACCTCCCGTCAGGGCAATCTCGGACCCACGTGCACCCGCCATAACACGGCGGCACTCTTCGTCCCCGAGGTGAAAACCGTGGGGCTGCGGGGCGCCGGTGTTAGGAGGTAGGTGGTCGGTCGTCGAGGTCATCCTGGGCTTGATTGACTTCTCTACTTTTGCAACCTATTTCCCAACCTCCCCAAACACCGTCTTTTTCCACCGTCACATCCTCAACCCGGTCATCATCCACAGCTTCACCCGAGTTGTGTTTCCGGGTGCTTTGGGTACATTGTGATCTACCTTGTGCTCATTTGCTTCCCTGGGCTACTTCGTGTTCGCCCAAAACCGCAAATAGAAAGATGCCATGCACCACCATACCAAAGGCATGCTCACTTGCAAGCAGAAGAGCAAAATGCAGACATCAACATGTGTGCGTGCGGCCCTGTGTATGCAATGTTGTGGCTGCCGCTAGAATGAGAAACTTCACCGGACGAAAACCAGTTATACAAAATAACGACAGTACCTCAACAAGAACCCGCAAAATTCATGACAGCGGTGTGCCTATGTCGATTGCGTTCACATCATAATTTGCCAGAGGTCGGGGAATCACAACTTACAGATGGCAGGGAGCGAGAAGAGGGAGGGCCTTTGGAAATCAGGCACGAAACAATATGACATCAGCAACATTAAGTCATCCAACACGTTGGGTGCAAACGTACGAGGCGTACCAACACCATCAAGTATACGGAACCCGCTGCCAAACTGCCGATAGTACTATGGATGGTTCCATAGTTTTTGTATCAGCATTGCGGGTGCAAATATGTGCAAATAGTGTCAACCAATTTTGTTCAAGCACAGTTGCACCGTGTGCACGATTTACACCACACCGATTGACATCTTGCACACCTCCGAGCCTAATTGCACCCCGTGCGCGTTTCGCCGCAGGTAGCACAAACAGTGCAGGCAGCAAAAACAGCGCAGGCAGCAAAAACAGCATAAGCGGCGCAAACAGCGCAAGAAACGCAAACAGCGCAGGCAGCAAAAACCATAAATAAGGGGAGGTAGGTTTGCGTACATAATTCTGCATTCGAACGGCCTGCTTGTTGTTTGTTTTGTGGGGCAGATTCTTGTAGCCGATCCTTTCTATGGGGACAGGCCGCAACAGTTTCTATTCATTGCAACACAATATTGGGCAGATTGGACGTTTGTCATGTTGTGTCCATGTTGGTTTCCGATGACACGCGGATTTTGAGCTCGTCACTGGAGGAAACGGCACTCCTCACGCAGGTGGTGAGCCTGTCAACACATCAGTAGCTGATCATGTAGGCTGGCACACGGCTCGATCATCCAACCTGTTGGTTTGAAAAGGCAAGTCGTCCTTGCCAATGAGGTTGATCACGAGCAACAAGAAACATGGTTCAACACGGCAATCGAGGCTGCAGTCCCTTTGGGGGGGGGGCAGGTCAGCGCGCAAATTAGTTGTGTAACATTCTGAAATCATGTTGGTTTTGATCAGATGTTTGCCGCAGACGAATTTTGCTGGGAAACGGCTAATTGTGCTGTGTAACGACACTGAATTTAAAAGGACGCTTACTAACATTGAACAAGTGGATGCTTTGGGTCTAATGAGGATGGAACAAATAACGCAACTTGCGGCCAATCTGATATATTTGGAAAGACCTGTGAAGTGTGCCAACACTGTTGTTGCACATGTGGAAAATAACAAATTGTAAAGGGAGCTGGTTTGTCGGTACAGAATGATCGTCTAAGATTTGGCAATTGTTTTTCATTTGAAGGACGTTTCTGGGCCATGGCGGGTCACCACACAATCATGTGTTTTTCCTCGAATTTGCATGGTCCAACGCCATGCCTGTTCGCGTAGCGAGGTTGATTCTCACACACTGAGTCCTGCCGGCAGCAAATGTATAGTCGAGAATCTTTGTGGGACCATTCGATCCGCATCCCATGGCATTTGCTTCGCTCCTTGTTTGCAGGATCACATTGCAACTGCACGCAGAATTTAGATTACAATTGTTTGATAATTGTTATGCACATGCGTTTTGCAATACGCCAGAGCTAAGGTTCGTGAGTGCTTGGTTTGCCCGGGTCTTATGCCGCAATTGCATGCGCAGCGTGTTTTTTGCTCCGTGAACTCAGGGCAAATTATGCAACTGCAAGCGGCCTTTGCATGAGGCGCCCGAAGAAATTGGATGGGATATCTGTTTGGTCGGTGTCGAAAAGAAAAAACCAACATACGTTTTCTAGGTCCCCTCCTGCATACTGGTTGGCACTTGAAGGTTGGCATTCATTGACTCGTAGCGTTACCACGACGTATGACAGGCATCAGCGTACACACCGAAGAAGTGCGTTTGTGGCTTAGTTCTGCCGAATTGTTCAATGAACTAGATATATGCAGCATGTGTTCTGCCCACAGCTTGCTGACCGAGGCGCCAGAACCACCGAATCCACGTTGTACCAGTGCAAAAACCAGCCAAGTGCAGGAGGTGCACACATATGCGTTCGGACGTTTCTGGTGGCAGCGTGCTCAACAATGTTGCGGCGCCTCAGGTTCACATTGACAAGATGACAACGGTTCCTGCTGCCGAGAGCTTGCAGATTAGCGTTCCTTTTTTGTTTGCAAATTTTGATGCACCGGAAGAGCCAGATTTTACATCGTTTTTCAATCATGCGACATGCCAGTCGTGCTCAGGATCTCTACAAGAAGATGGTGGTGGCAGGGAGCCGTGCACGAGCTAGAGGTCAGCACTCTCTGAAGGTGCGGTTTCGTCAAATGCGTAGCCTAGCTGTTCCCCAAATCGCATCATGGGCTTGCAATCCTCCTTACAGTGTAGTTTGTACGCGTCATTGTCGGGGCGTCTGTTGAGAGTATTCTAGTGGTATCCCTTTTTTTTCAGGGATGCCTCATTCCGAAAAGCCCTCCAAGAGCCTCGGTGGAAAAGTCAGTTGCAAAGAACGATGGTCTGAAAAAATGGGGAAGCACCACTACCATGGAGTATGTCTCCCGACTTGCCCCAGGCAAAACCTCGGAGCAATGATGCGCCAGTGCCTTACGTAGGGAGGGACAAATATTGTTGACGATTCCAGGGTGTTTGACATTAGGTTCCGAAAAGCCCTCACTGTCTAAAGAAGTCTACATGGGCATGTGGGCCCGTACTTTCCATTCAAACTCGAAGGCCCGTTGCCGCGATAGCGTAACATGCATGCATAATACTGTATGGTTTTTGGATATTAATATTTTTAGGGTTGTTGTTTCTGGGGTACGGACGTCACCAACAAAATCTCACATGGAGCCAGAGTGCCAAAGGGAGTGAAAACGACCCACGTGTTGCACGGCGTTTTTCGAGTATGACGATGATATTTTCAAGCCTCCAGCTGAGTCCGCTGACATTCACCATGCAGGGTACGCCCCCAAAAAAAATGGAGCCCCTTGAAGCCTTTAAGCCCCCAGCCCCTGAAACCCCTCAACACCCTTAGAGCCTTTAGGAAGTCTTAAGATCCTAGCGGCTTAAAGTCTGCAAATCTGCATAGCTTGAAAAGAAAAGAGGCGAAAAAGCTTAGCGTTTTGATGGCTTAATGTCTTAAAATCTTAATGGCTGAACATCTCCGAATAGTTTTAGCTGAACACCTTAAAACCTTCATGCATGAAAATCTGAAGAATAATTATTAATGGCGGAAAACGTTTTGATGACTTAAGATATTTATGGCTAAAAACCTTAAAGCCTTACTGGATTAGAATCTGAGCAGGCTGAAATATTACTTAAATAGTAAGATGTGTGTTGCTTTACGTGGCAAAATCTGAATGGCTTAAAGTTTCAATATGTTAAAAGCTCTTCAAGTCTTAGCAGCGTATTTGTTTTGTGTGTTTGTTTGCTTTCTTCAAAGAAACAGTATGCATGGCCTAAGATCTTGCAATATTTAATGGCTGAACACCTTTAAAATCTTGAAAAATCCTGGAACCTTGGTGGCTTAACTTGTTAGAATCTTCAGGGCCTCAAGTCTCAACATCTCAACATCTCAACGGCTTGAAACCTTTGTTGTTTCTCATATTAAGCCGTTATTTGCTTACAGCTTTAAGACCTTGATGGCTTTACATATGTTGAATCCTTGGTTGATGAACATCTTCAAATCGTAGTTGTTTTCAATATTCATGGCTCAAATAAGAGAATGTGAACGGCTTAAAGCTTGAATGGCTAGAAATCCGAAGATTTGAGTGGAAACAAATCTGAAAGCCCTTGTGGCTTAAATGTTCAATGGTCAATGGCTTACAACCTTAGTCTTTATGGCTTAGAACAGTAGAAGTTGAATCGCTTAAGTTCTGAAAATGTGAATGGCTCAAATGCTTAACATCTTACTGGATTAAACAATGAAGGATCTTAGTGGCTTATGTATTCTTAAAATCTTGCTGGCTCAACCTGTTAAAGTCTTCATGGCTCACAATCTTCAGATTGTAGTGGCTTAGCATTTGCTAACTTAGCATTCTGAAATCTTAGCGGCTTAACATCACATTTCTCTTGAGTCTCAGATAGATAGGAATGCAGCAACAACGTCCCCAGCATCACCAGTAGATCGGTACTTGTAAACGCTTCGCTGCTGGCCAAGGCCAGTATTTCTCTTGGTTGGCTTTGAGGTACTGTGTTTGCCTTGAAGTGGTTTGTTTTTTTGACTGAGTGAGTCGTCGCCGAAGTGCGTGAGCTCGTTTCCAAGATATGTGGTGGGTGCGTGTTCGCGCGTTTCAAAATGATATCATCAAACGGCTCCAAGAGTAGAACGAGAGCCGCAGTCTGAAGCAACTAGTGGAATTCCTGCCCCGGCGGCCAGGCCAGCATTGTCAGCAGCAGGGAGGGGCGGGTTTGCTTCGTCAAGGCACACCTAAAAGATGCAAGCAAAATTAACCGGGCTGTTTGGGCTGGCCTGCACGGCTTCTGGTTTGTAGGGGGAAGGTTTCTAACCGGATTTGACTGCCTTCTGGGCAAGTTTGATTTCGCTGGCTTCTAGTGATTTCTAAAGGGAACTTGGCCGGTTTCGAGGTCCTTGGCCGCTTTCTAAAGTGCATTTCACCGGAGAATTTGTGACGCCTCGGCTTGGGCTGCGCAAGGATCTGAAGGCAGTTTGGACGGACGAGTTGGGGGGTCTGACCGCTTTTGGTTTTGGGGGCTGAGGTGAATGATGTGAGCCACCAATGATCAGTTCAAACAAATTGATAATGTTTGCTGGCTAATTTTTCAGCGTGGCAATGAGTTGTTGCCAGCCTTCCCGCGCCTCCCCTTTTCCCAGGCTGGGTCGGCGGGTATATGAAAATACGCTACCCCCCTTGATGGATCTACCTTGTTGCTGTTTGAAGGTTATTTGAGACTGAGTGCAGTTGTTTTGTACGCAATGCCCCATGCAACTTGACCAGCGTCAGCTCACCCTAAGCAAGGAAATCCTCTTCAAAATCTCGTTTGGAATAACACTTCCAATGATTTGTTTTTGTTGAAATCTTGCTTAACTGATGCTTAATGTCAGAAATTGTATTGGGATCATGTTCTTATTAGATTCCATTTATTTTTTTGCAAGTGGAGAAACATTTTGTTGGGAAAGGACGTTCTGTGAAGAAATGCATATTGACTCACAAGTCAAAAAGTAAAAGTCGGAAAGTAGATAAGTATAGGTATATTTCTGAAGCCAACGACCCAAAAGTACAAAAGCAACAAACAAAAGAGCAAATTTAAAAGGAACGAAGCAGAAAAGTAAACACGCAAAAGTAGAACATGTAAAAATAACATGCAAAAACATAAAAACAAAGCAATCACAAAGTAAGCAAATAAAAAAGTAAAATACCTCAGCCCATGGTCCTGGAAGTAAAATGTTTTGACCGTGAACTGACACATTCTACCTTTTTAGTGTTTTATGTTTTTTGTTTTTAGCCAATTGGCTCGGGAATTTTACTTTTGTATTTTTACTTTTGGGCCATTGGCTCCAAAGGTTTCCTTTTCACTTTGTATGGGTCATTCTTTACGCTTTCACTTGTGGGCCAGTGGCTCCAACATTGTTTTGCGTTTTCTGACAAAACCCCAGAATAGAAATAGGAAAGAGGTAGGTTCAAACTGGATTCAAAATTCCCTGGAAAAGTTTGGCCTCAAACTTTCAGATTGTGTTTGGAAATGCGCCCTTTTTGTTGCTTTCCCCACAGCCCCAAAAAAGGAAAAACACTGCACAGATCAGTGAAATCTAGAGGTAGATCCATCAAGGGTGCCATATATACATATACAGACAAAGGTGTGCGTTACATATTGGTTTGTATGGTTGTCCTTGGCCCGGATCAAAAGTCAGGTGGGATCAATGGGATCCCAGCACTTCGCCGCACGCGCAGGAAGTATCCGAGCCGGTCCTTCGAGCCGAGCCTCGTGAGGAACAAGTCGTACTATGGCGCCTCATCTGAAAGTAAGGCGAACATCCCCGTTCAGCCATGGTGTATTTCCAGCTTCCATTGCACCATTTGTTTTTTCGGCCGTGCTATACTGTAGTTTCCGCGCATCGCACCAATTGCACTCTCATCTGAGACGGCAGGTTAGAGCTGTCACCGGACAAGTTGAAAGTCCGGAGGCAGGCTAGTGTGCCATGTTTCCCGTGTTGCGAGTCGAAAACAAATGTTCAGTGCACAGGCGGTTTCAACTGGAGATGATGAGGCTCCCAATCAGAATCAGGCCCTCAGGGGCATTTTGTGTGCGGACAGCCGTGCCCATTGTTGGGCCGAGCTTCTAGTCACATGGCTGTTTTTCCAAGCAGACTCCAGGGCCCGGCATATTTGTGTTCCAGATTTAGGCACATCTCAGGCGAAGCCTGGAGTCAGGCTTGATCGTTGACAGTCAATTCTTGGCAGGACCATGCCCTTTGAACGGTTGGCTCCAAGGGTCTTGAAGACACCAACGCTGTGTCGGTAAGCTCACCGGGCAGCTTGAGACCCAGAGCAAACACGTGGGTTGAGGCGTCTCTTTTGGTTGATGATGTTTGATTTGTTGATATGTTCATACGGACATTGACGCCTGCTTTTGCTTGCCTTCTCAGCTGTACGGCCTCGTTAAGGACCTTATCATTACACGTGTGGCAAGCGAGAGCAAGAGCTCTGCATGCACACTGCGAATACTCGGCGTTTATGAATTAGAGGCGATGCTCCAACAGTGAGCTCAGCTGTACAGGCATGCACGTTTACATTAACATGCCATCTGGTCTATCACCAGACAGACATGTAGACCAATTCTGTGGCTCCTGTACAAGTCAGGAGTTTGCATAGGAGGATGCTTGGCTGGCAGAGAATGTTGGCATACTGGTGCCACATCCTCCTCTTATTTCCTGTCGCAAAGCTTGGAGACAGGAGAGAATTCGAGCTAGTCGGCCTGAGTTTGAGCCGGGCGCTCGCAGGGCTTTTCCCGCCACTGAAGGCCCTTGGGTGCCACTTGGGTCCCAGGCATCTTGCAAGTTTCAGTTTATTTGGCTGTGCAGTGTGATCGGTAAGTCCCGTGTTCGGAATCACAGGCGTGGCCGGTATATGGTACAAATTAGATGCGAAGGACGAGCGCCTAGTGAAAACAGGGCCGCGCTTTGGATGTGTCAGGCCTGCAAAAGTTGATTTGAGAGCGGAATCAAATTCCAGGTGAGGATCGCAGCTGTTAGCACATTTGGTCGGAAGTAGTAGGCCCCAAAACCAAACAAAATGTTCCCCAAACCATGCCACTGTCATTCAAGGACGGTCGCACATGTTTCACATATTTACAGAGTTCAACAGCACCATGTAACTCGCAGCGAGCCCACAATATATTTTGTGGCATTTTACCACCTGCATTTGCCACTCAATACGTTTGGAGATGCGGTGTTTTGTGATTTAGACAGTGCCATGATGCTGTGAAGTGCTGGCACGAGGAGGTGCTTTTGAGACGACTCGGCTGTCGCCACGTAGCATCCCGCGAGGTATGGCCTCCACCGACTTTCATTTGCGGCGTCTTATTCATGAGGCCACCCGGGCGACTGAACAGCAGCGCCACGCCAGATCATAGCAGGAGTTGGGAGGGATCAAGCGAAGGGTTTTCGTTCATCAAGCCAATGATGTTAAGGGAACCATGGCCATGACATGCCATGACCAGGAGTTTTGACCGTGTTCTGTAGCCAAGGGCCCATCAGCTCGTTGACGACGCCTTTGCGATCATTGAGGGCAACGCGAGTCGATTCACAATCGGAACCTCGTTGGGAGGGTCAGACTCTGGTGACACACATGGAGTAGTATCACGCAATGAAGTGCTAGCATCACAGCATGGTCGAAGTGATCGAACATTTGGTGCAAGGAGAGGACTTTGCGCCCGAATTGCTGGTGATTTTCGCGGAAGCCGCTTCTGCATCTTGGATACTGTCAAATGCAATTCGCAAATCCAGTCTGGCTCTGCAGCGCTCAGGATCTGGGTGGCCACGATCCACAAGCAGAACGCGCCCTCGAATTGTACGATAGACTAGGCTGTGAAGATGACCAGCACCACGGCGGACAAGAGAGCAAAGAGATCGCCTTCCGCGGAAATGGCCTCTCTGAGCGTTTTGCTTTGTCGTTCGACGCGGAATTCGTCCTAGGTTCATGGTTCGGGCTTTGCTGGTTCGATGCCTGTGCGAAGCCCGCCTGGGCACTGAGCGATATCGTCTCAAGGGTCAGCATCTTCTGCAGCACCTCGGATAGCCTTGAAAGGCAGCAGGCATCAATTGAAATATGTTGAAAGTAGGGCAAGGCCCCCTTTCTTGTTTGGGATGTGTCCAAAACAAGTCCATCCTGATTTTGAAAGCGGAGCACCCTCAAACATGCTGCTGGACATAAAACCTCCCGTGAAGAATTTCTACCAAAAGGTCCCCAAGAATTCATACCCATATGGGGAAAGGTTCCTTTCCTGGATGTGTGACGGCATGATCATTTCTCCCTTTTCTCCTCAACACGTATTCTAAAGTCAAGTGAAAGCAATGGTTGCCGCGGAACGGTTCACGGTTCAGTTGACCGCCTTCCCTCTTGCAAGGCAGCTGCAATATGTTTTGAAGCAGTACCTCATGAAGGCCAGAAACAGCAGATGGTGTGCGCAGTGCACTCCAAATATGATATCCTCAGGCGTTGTCGATCGCGAACGAGACTGGCTGGGCACAAAACGACAGTCGTGACTTGCTTCCAGGTCGTTCCAGCCAGGTTGCTGTTGTTTTCTAAATTTGGCCTTACTCAAGAAGCCCTCATCAGAAGCCGCAGGGCGCCCAGGGGCGTGCACAGAGTCTGAGGCTATGGGTTTCTCATCTACAATGCATCCCTGGTATTCTGGAGCGTAGCTCGGCCAATGTGCCGCTACGGCTGGCAGCGCCACATTGTCAACGAGGCCACACAGGTCCTGGACGCCTTAAAGGCTGTCAGGGCTGCCGGTGGCGGTGGCGGGGCGGCTGGAAAGCCCGCCAAAGGCGGGGCAACGGGAGCCGCACTTCCGGTGTCCGTTGAGGTCCCCTGGCTGATCGAACTGACGCTGAACGTGGCCTTTGGGCTCGAGGATGCCGGCAAAGATGCTGATGCTCAGAAGAAGGCAGATGAGGCCAGCCTCTTACTAGACGAGTTCCTGAAGGAGCAAGGCTCCACAGCAGATCCTGCTGCAATCGAACGGAACTCGCGTCTGCGCCAACTTGTCTGGAATGCAAGGGCGTATTTCAGTCGCAAGGCCCCGGGAAAAGTCAAGGACGACATTGTCAAAGCGGGTGGCAGCGGCGTGATGGCAACTGCGCTTTTTGTGTGCAACGGTGGGATTTCGGGGGATGCCGCTGCGGAAGAACTCATCAAAGCGTGGTCCAGCATTGACGACTACGATTTGCGAGGTGCACGGGATGCCTTCTCGCGGAACTCCGTGAGCGGGAAGGCCGGAAAGGACGGGGGCGTGGTTCGAGGTGTCAAGCCCCAGGCGTTGCAAGATCTGGCCATGGCGGTGAGGGCGGCCTGTTGCGCCAAGCAGTGGCCGCTGGCGCTGTGTATGGTGGCGCGCCTGGAGAAGTTTCAGATGCCCCCCGGGCGTGGACGCATCTACCTGGACCTTGCCAAGGCCGAGTGTGAGGTGTGGCAGGCTTGCAATGTGAAGAAGGAGGACCCCGTCTCCAAGATGCTGCTCTCCGCGCCGGAGCAAGAGAAGCGGGAAATCGAGACGCGGCACCGCTCGGTAAAGCTGGTGGAGCAGTGCATCATGATTGCGAGGCGGATCGAAGCTTTTGACTTGGTCGAGGAGTGTGCCGTGGTGATGTGGAATATCTCACGGGAACTCATGTCTGAGCAGAACCGATATCGAGTCCACAAGCCTCTCCAAAAGTGCGCTGAGCTCTTGGAGGAGATGCAGTCCAACCGCTTGGTGCCGCTCCGAGTACAGCTGCACTTCGAGGTTGCGCATTGCGAGGTGGCCTCGGATTTGCTCACCAAGGGCGCTGGCGAGTATCAAAAGGCGGACACCTTGGACTATACCGCCATCGATCCTGAGCTGCCGGACAAGGTGCGCCAGACCCTCAGTGAGGACGCCCTAAGAGATCCGGCGCCCTTCCTGCGGCGCTTCGATGAGGTCACTGAGGATCACCTGAACTTGCTGCACTGGAAGACCAATTTGTATGAGGAGCCCAGTGATGTTGCGGACGAAGTCATGCTGGTCCTTGACCAGGTGGCGAAGGTGAAAGGAGCTAAGAATGACAAGGGGGAGGTGCTTCCCCTTTCCGAGGAGAAGAAAAGATTGAACTACAATTTGCTGGTCCAAGCCTTTGAGAAGTTAGAAGTTGAGTTGGAGGCCTTGATTGGGAACGACCGGCTGCAGACCTTGAAGGATACTTTTGAGCCGCCTCCGCCGCATATCACCGGCCCGGATCCGCTGAAGGCTCTCCCCTTCCAGGCCCCGGCCACCGTCTTCTCCAGCGCCGAGATCGATGGCAAGGCCATCGTGGACAAGCGCCCCGTCAGCGAGAAGGAGGAGGCGATCCTGAAGGCGAAGCGCATCGTGAGGCTGATGTGCCACTGCGGCCTGGAGGCCAAGCGCACAGAAGAGGGCATCTTCGCAGTGAAGGTCTGCAGCAAGGCCATGCAAACTGCGGAGGAGATGACTTTTGGTCCGGCACCCACAGAGGTGGAGACTGCACTGCTGCTGACAGCGGCTGCGTACACCAAAGCGCAATGTCTTTCGTGGGACATTGAAGATCAAGGCCTACTGCAACTCGGGCTCGAGAATACTTGTTGTTTCTCTTCTTGTTGCTCCCAGTCTGAGGCAGTTGGGTCATAACTCAGGAACGGCATTGATGAAGAGATTGAAGAGGAAAAGGAGGCCATTTGCATTTGAACGCCACATTCATGCGGATCGGATTTTACTACTATGCAGGAGGGTGAGCCTGAAGAGATCCTTCCCGATCCAGATGAGGAGGAACAGGACCGGCCAAATGATGGTCAATTTCCGACCTGGTCAGTTGTCTATTGAAGTTAGGTGCAACTCCGCGCTGCCTCAGATATGGAGTTGAACTGTCAGATGCAAGGGCATGTTTTGGGTTATGTTGGGTCCCAGAAAGACTTGCTGACAGGAAGAGCTTCCGAAGTTGACCGCGGAAGAGAAGGCTGCCCTGTCTGAGAAGAAGCGAGAAATCATCAGGCACGCTTGTCATATGTGATTCGGTTTTACCAATTTCCAGCAGAGAGTTACCCTCAGAAACCTCCTGTACGGTATGGCGAAGAGCTATGAGTTCGGCCAGTACTGGATGGTATCAAATGGACTGGTGCCTCAGCTGAATACGTCCCATCGCACTGAGACTTCTTGCATGTGATCCAGGTGCATTTCTGGAATTTGCATCTGGACATGGTGGCTACCAGCAGCTTGGATGCATCACTGACTTGCTTCCATTTCCATCTATCGACCTTTTAGGTCGAGAGATCCCTGCGCTACTGAAGAGAACCCTGCAGGACAGAAGAGAGAGAGAGAGAGAGAGAATCTTGAAGCCTTAGGGTGGCACGTTGGACCGAAGCTTGCTCAAAGTCTTTTAGTGCCCGAGAGCTGGTGCCCAAGGTAAGGCAAACTTGCAGTGAGTCTTCAGTACCAATGGTGCGTTCGCATTTCGAGAGCAAACCGTGTAGGAAACGGTGCGAGGTTCCGGAACGATCGAGTTTGTCCATATTCGCCAGTTGCATCTTTGCAGGAGTACAGAGATGCCTTGAAAGAAGTGCAGAAATATCTCACTGGCCCCACAGCTCTGCAAGACAGCAGCTCGGCTCTCTTGAGGTTTGCAAAGTCAGATCTGCGCAAATCTGCTCTCAGGTGAGTTCAAGCAGGAGCTCTCAACCAATCTCACGCTGGCTCACATCAATGGAAACGTGGCGGTGGGCAACTTGGAGGTGCTGGAAACCGCCAATTTGCAGGTGCTGCATCCTGGCTGCATGCGCAAAGCCCGCTTTGGTTCGGTTTGGTTTTGTTTGCCTTTTGACAAGTTTGTGATGGTTCCAAGAGTGCAGGGAGACTTTTTGAGTGTGAGCCCCAACAAAAAGCACCTCTCGAAACATCCCGTGTTGCTGCCCTTTCCGCTCTCAGGAAGCGTTTGGGCGCTTGCCAGCGCAAGGAGATCATGGCACGGGTGGTGCAGCTTTGCAAGGCCAGAGAATGAGTTGAAACTGGAACGGCTGAAAGCAAAATGAGTTAGATGAGTGAGATGAAAGGCACAGTATGCCAATATGCCGCCTTCTTCATTTATGTACATCTTGAAAAACCCGCTTTACCAGGTCTTGACTCTATTGCTGTGGTTTCCTTGTTACTTTAGAAGCCCGAGGCTCCTTTTCCAGCTTGAAGCTTTAGAGTTGTGGCAGGAAAAACAAGATCCGACCGCGTGGCTAGGAGCACGAGAAGGCCTCCCCAGATTTGGCGCAGCTGCGGCCTGCGCAGGCTGTTCGAGTGTGCCAAGAGCTGCATGCTGACAATGTCGGCCGCTTGTAATGTGTTGGAACCGCGCAGTCATAAAAGGCTTTGAGTTTGGACAACCTGACTGCCTGCTTCCGTTGCTCCCTTCTCGCGTTCCATGTTTCTAAAACAAGGTGAAGGGCCAAGCCTGCCCAAGCTGGGTTCCAGGGCTCCATGGGCTCTCTGGCATGATATGTCAAATATAAATAAGAAGAATAATAAGAATAATAATAATAATAGTAATAAGAATGATGATAATAAGAACAACATGACATAAACAAGAATAAGCAAACATGAACAAGCAAACGTAGCGAAGCGAACAAACAAAACCAACTTTGCCTTTAGAAACAACTCTAAACAAGGAATGACACCCCTTTGTTTGATCCAGTTTTGACCCCTGGGTCGAAGGCGAAGTGGGGAACCTTTGCTGAATATGACGCACATTGGATGGAAGAGCATGAATTTGAGAAGATGAGAAACACCCTCGTAACTGCTCGCTATCGAGTCACATCAGGAGGTTGTTTGCAGTTCAGACAAATCCGCCAAGTGCTTTGTTTTCTTGTTGGCACTTGGGCAATGGTGTGTTTGTTCCCTTTGCGGCTGACAGTGCCATTGGCTCACTTCGAATCTAGAGCTAGGGCCTTCCTATTGCAGAGAACAGGTGCTTTTAGGAGGATGGCCAGCAAGGCTGAGAGGCGTCGGTCGCAGTTGACTCTCTGCGAGGCCGGGGCTGCGGCGGCGGCGCCGAAGGGCGGCAAGGGAGGCGGCTGTGTGTCGACGCAACAAGGGGACCAAGTTCAAGTTCCTTAGGATACATTTGGGCAGGATCGAACATGATGTTTACCAGCTGTTTTAGAGGATTGTAAAGCAGACTGAGTGAACAGGTGGTCTTGGATGCTTCCTTTGAGACCCTGAATTTGGGAAAGGGTCCCTGTGCCTAAGCTGCGGCAGGCTGTTTGGCGTCATCCGTGTTGGGTTTTAGGTAGACATGCCGATTTTGGTCACAGTCTGCACTCCGGATTAACCTGACTCAAGAATCGCAACGTCTTCAAAGGAAGATTCTGAAAGCAGACCCATAGGTTCCATCATTGCAGTATAAACCTCCCAACGCGGCTACTTTCCATTGCCGGGACCCAAAAAGGGCTTCGGGGACGTGGTTTAAGCCCGTTGGTTTTTTGAGCACGTCAGGACCCGCAGAAGTGGCAGACCCAACAAGCTTGCAGGCGGGCGCCGAAAGATGCTGAAAAGATGCCATGGTTGCGACTGGAAGCGTCGGGAAGCTGGGGTGCAGAGGATTGCAGAGGTGTTCAAGCATTGTGCTTCATTTCTTGGTTCACCCATATTCGCGGAAGGAAAAACATGGCTAGGTGTTAGGTTCCAGTCTGACCGCTCAGGGCAATGAGGTAGACATCATGGTGGCTGTCATGAGTATGCCCAAAGCGAAGGACTGCCTACGCGGCATGGGGCCGGCAGAGAGTTTATTCAAGTCTTTGAACAGAGTTTAGTCAGAGGGGAACTTCGATCCGGGTCCGGTTTTCTTTGCCAAATGCCACAAGAATATCGAGGTGTGCAAATGCTTCGGAACCTCAGGACGCCGAGGAAGCGCGAAAGTTGGTTGACCAGGCAGGTCTTTGCTCCAGTTGCCTGAGAGAAACCTAGGAAGAGGGCAGAGCAGTGTGTGGTGTTTGGTTTCCCTTTGAACCTCTCAGGCTGTCGCCATGCTGCAGAAGTGGACACCTGCCGCAAATGACGAGGAGAGATGTTATTAACGGGTTCCCTTGGGCCCCCGGCGGCCTTACTCCAAGGGGGAACATGGATAAGTTTTAAGAGGGAATGAGAAATCGAGTGACACAAGTGGGACAGGCGAGAACTGAACTCGCGAGGCCATGCTTATTCTTTGGGTGGAGCTTTGGACAAGGCGCGTTGGACCGTGTGCCGTTCGTTTGCACAAGAAAGACCGAAGGCTGGGTCGCCAGTGCTTGAAGCCGCCCATGAATCCCAACATTGGCCGAGGGCTCGGCATGCGAAGGCCTCTTTGAGCGAAAGAGAAAACATGAGGCGCCAAGTACGCCTTGATGTGCACCATCCAGGGCTTGGGCAAGGTGGATGCACCGATCCCCAAGTGACCTTGGGGCATTCTTAGCTCCAGGGCATCGATCAAGATGCAGCATGTTGAATGGTCAATGTTGGGTGTTCCATATCAGGGAATCGTGACTGCTTGCTTGACTGGTTCCCAAACGAACTCATATTACGTTGCTGCCCATCCGCACCCTTTAAGGATTTCCATCCCGCCAGCCCGCTACCTGGCTATGCTTAGCCTTGCATGCATGCCTGCCAAATAACAAGCACACCCGCTAGAGAGCACCCCCTCAGCACATGCCTGACAAACAAATTCCACACCCGCTAGAGAGCACACGCTCAGCACTGCACACAGACCTGCCACATGACAAGCACACCCGCTCAACAGCACACGCTCAGCACAGCGCACACACACACACCATGCCTGACAAACAAAACACATTCACTCAAGAGTACACGCTTAGCAGAGCACGAGCGTAGCACGCATGCCTGCCAAATGATTAAATTAGCGCAAGCGCTCAAGAGCGTGCAGCCGGCGTATCTTTACTGCCGCTTTGCTGCTACATGCCTCCACACGATGTCTGGGACGTTTGCATACTAGGCGCAATCTAGAAGCCATTGACTTCCGAGGTTTAGCTGCAACTGTTTCATGCTTAGGCCTGTGGAAGATCCACCAAACTGTGCACATCCAAAATAGGTACCCACACCATGCGACTAGCTGGGTATGTGCCATCATGTGCCACAAAATGGAACCCGGAAGATTAGATTTTCCTGCTGTTTTCCCTTTGAACCAACCCGACTACAAGGCGACCCTTGTGATAGGTATGCATCGCCAGAGCTGCTTCGATGGCGCGGCGCATGCCATGCGCTCTGTGGAGAAGTCTTCGCGTCACTGATCAATCCGCTGGAGCAGGACGCGATCGTTCGGCTGTTGGACTGCCTTACGGATTTGTTTTGTCTGGCCACCTAACCATATGGGCGCGGAAACAGGGGTTTTCCTTTTGGTTTTCCCGCAAACCAATCAAAAGGGTCCCCAATCTACACCATAATGTTGTACATATGCTTGAAGGGGGCTGGCAGACGTGAAACCAAAAGAGAATCTGGATTCTCAGGAGAAGGAAAGCCTGGCCAAGCTCAGGCATAGCGGTTTGCGTGCCTCTCCCATTGATACGCGTGACTTTGAGTGGACTCCTCGGATGCCGGACTTTGAAATTTGCCTGCTTGACAGGCGAATGTCGGTGGAGCAGTTCGAGCGATGCTGTGAGTATGCCATTGCGACTGGCAACCATGCAGCCTGACTGCAACGCGTTTTCTGGGTTGGACGAAACGGCGAGTTTTCTGCCAGGGGCTTATGGCCTGCATTGCCAAGGCTTTGGCCAGCTTCGGAGCTAGTGCCCTGTGGTGGCTTGGCGCCGTCGAGTTGCAGTTATCGCCTTTGCTTTCAAAGTGTTTCGCATGGTCAAGGAACGTTTCCCTGCCGTTTATGCACTCTGCAGAGACCAGGGCGCAGCTGCTTGGCAAGTTTGGCGTGAGACTGAGAAGCATTCATCTCATGCCATTGATTGCTAAGGCTGATTGAACCATTTTCAAAGGCGACACGAGCATTGGCAGCGGGGAACTTGGGCAAGACTTGGTGATGAGATGCATTACACACACATTGCAAGCAAGGCTGTAAAGTATGCAGAAGACCCGTTCTTCTTTGCAGCTTTGTATGCTGCCCTTTACGAAACTTGACAGCAGGCAGCGTTTTTGGTCAGAGTCTAGTCAAGGACTTATGATTCAAACTTGAACACATGAATCGGCAGTTTGAAACTTGGTAACTTCATGCGTTGGCTCCTTTGCCTTCATTTAAGCTGCCTGTGTCGCATTGATCAGCAACCTGTCCACAGGCAAGCTTTGTGCATTCAATGGGCGTCAGGACTGCTATGCAGACCAGCATCAATGGGACCATATCCACGAGATGCTGAAAGACGCCTTTGCAAATGTACCAGCGTCCAGCCATCGTCGGCTTTGGGCGCTCCGCATGCTGGCGCTGAGCCACCAGGGCAAGAATGTGACGGTGGCGATGGGGAAGATGAAGGCGAGACAGAGAGCGACAGAGAGAAATGAAAGAGAGCGGGAGCGAGGGAGGGAGGTGTCAAACTACATGCTTCACTTCCTGCAATTGTGTTGCATGTATGTTCACTACTGCAGGCCTTGAGCTCACTACATCGCATGAGTCAAAAGGTTGGCAGCTGCAGACTACATTGGTTGACTGTTTGTTTGACCACTACAGCACTTGCACTTGTAAGTAAAAGTAGCAACCAATTTTAACGTGGAAGCGGAGCTGAGATCCTAAACATAGGGGAGCTCCAGTAAGCAGTAAGTACTACAACCGCAGCAACAGCAGTCGCATGCCAAACTACTACGACATGTCAGGAGAAGCAGCATCAGCCTCGGCGCGACAAACTACAGGAGCAGAGAACGGGCCAACAGCAGACACAGTAGGATCCACGACTACGGGAGCAGGAGCAATTCCTACAATGGGAATACGACATCAACCGCTACGAGAAAGACAAAATGGCGCAGCACTACCAGATGAATCAAAATAGCAATGCTACTCAACAAAGCCAAAGGAGCACTGCAGCAAGATCTCCAACTGCGAACTGGGCAGATCACGAACTACATCGAGATCAGAGCAGTCATCTTGGACTACTACAAGATTTCAGCCTTCTCGAGATCGACTTCAGCAGTAGGAACAAACTACAATGGAGGAGCTGCACCAATGCATGTTGACAACGTATGGAGGAAAGGAAGAAACTACAAAGGCAAAGGAAAAGGCAAAGGCAACTACAAAGGAAGCAAAAGCAAAGGCAAGTACAGGAGTAAAGGACACGACAAAGGATTCGACAAAGGCAACAAGGAAACTACAACAAAGGAGGACACAGCAAGAGCAGAGGAAAAGGCTACTCAGGATCCAAAGGATATGGATCAAGCAAAGGCTACAAAGGCCAAGGAAACTACAGCAAATCAAAAGGAAAAGGAAACAACAACTACACAACATGTCATCGATGTGGCAAGCCTGGCCTCTGGGCACAAGACTGCAGAGTGCCAGTATGGCACATAGGAGAAGGAGAAGAACTACATCCACAAGAACAAGAACAAGCAGATCATGACAACAATGAAGAACTACATCAGGATGTGAACGACACCTGGGGCTGGTACTACGACGGAGAAGAAGGACAACACGAGGTAAACTACATGGAGGAGAACTGGAACGACTACGACTATGACAACAGCTGGGATTGGAATGACAACAGCTATGAGGACACAGCAAACTACATTGGAGGCATCAACGAGTCACACCTCACCATTGGACACATCAGACAAGCGTTCCCTACAAGCAGGACAACTTCAGGATCATGATGCCCTACTACGTTTGTGATGTGAAGTATCCAATCCTCAGTGCATCAAGACTACTTGATAGAGGATATGGACTCGACTTCAATCCACGACGCTGCACCATCACACATGGACAACAACAAGCGCACCTCATAAGATACTCAGGGCTTTTCTACCTACGAGCAGAGAAGATCGACATATTCGTACAGGATTCCACATCTACCCAATGACTACACACAATGGAAAACCCATTGCTGTGATTCAACCTACAGAGAAAGCAACACCAACAAGAACAAACACCACTCACCCACACAGACCAAGGACTGCGACAGATCCTTGGTGGAAACTTGATGGTGACTACGGCATCAGAGTCCACAAACGACCACGCAAAGCATTGTTTACACCACACAATAGATGATTGGCGACTAACCATCATCAACAGACAAGGGCAAGAGCAAGAACAACTACAAGAGAACCCAACACAACTTTCCAAGCAAGAACTACAACGAAGACTAGAAGGTGACAACTGGACTGGGGAAACCAGATTCAGAAGAAAGATAACACCTACACGCAGAGCAACATCAAAGACCACACCAATAAGGCAGAGCTCACAACCACAACGACTAGTGGACACACCACCAACCAGATCAAAGATACAACTACGAGCGCCGCAAAAGATATGGAGACCCAAAGCAGCACCTTCAACAGATCTCGACACCACACAACCAAAGGAGACAATCCACAGACCACTCACAGCACAGGAGGACAACCAAGACTACTGGGAAAGACAAGGTGAACACAGGGTAAGACACCGAGCAACACTTAGAACAACTCTCTTCACTCCAACAGATGGACCAGGACATCCACCAATCGGCACACTTGAGCCTCACAGAACCACAATCACTCACAACAACTTTGGAGAAGTTTCACAACGCAAAGATGACTGGACAGTCATGGGCAACGCAGCACTACCGTTTCAATCGAAAGGAACAACAAGCTTCACCGTGAAGAAAGACTACGAGTACATCCAGGAGAACCACGATGAGGAACAACAACACGAGCATCATGAAGCACACAGAGCAAGAGGACAACGACAACCGCAACAGCCAACTCCACAACAGATAGCAGAACACAATCTTACACATCTACCACACAGAAACTGGTGTCCAATTTGCGTTCAAGGCAAAGGACGCCAAGACAACTACAAGAAACAACTATCACGACAACCCGTCATTCTAGTAGATTTCGCCTACATCAAATCACAACAAGACCCAAAGACCGGACCAGTGCTGACAGCAGTTGATGTTACTACACAACTGTGTATGGCAGTAATGGTCCCGGACAAACCATCAATGATGGACTACATGGTCAACAACCTACAAGCATTCATCTTTGAGTGCGGAAGAACACAAGGCATACTACAAAGCGACAACGAAGACACACTCAACGCACTTCTAAAAGCTACAGCAGCAAAAGTCGGCTCAATGACTGTTAGGCACGCACCCTCCTACAGCATTAACAGTCAAGGAAGTGTTGAGCGACTACACCGAACACTCCTCGGACAGGCACGCATTGTCAAAGCGCAGGTTGAAAGCAACTACAGCATGACGATGTCCACAAAGCGCTGTCCTTGGGTAGTACGACATGCAGCATGGACGGTAAATCGCTACGACAAGCTTTGAACGCCGCTAGGGAAGAAACTACGAGCGAGCAATCTGCGAATTTGGCGAGACACTACTTTACCTCCCACCACAACACAAGAAACTTCCAAAAGCAGACCTACGGACGCAGAAATGCATCTGGCTCGGAAAAGTTTCCGAAACCGGAGAAAACCACGTCGCAACGGAATCAGGCGTACAAAAGGTACGAACAGTACGGAGACTACAACCGGACTTCAAATGCGAACTCGCACTGTTGAGCAAAGTTTCCGGCACACCATGGGAACACCTACAACCCGTCGTTCGCAACACTGTTGGACACGCAACTACAACCGTCAGATAAAAGAAGACCCACGCAAGATTTCGGACAACAGACGAACGCGACGGACGACATCGTTGCGGAACCCGCAACAAAACAACAACGCACTACACCATCTCCACGACTTCCGTCTACATCAACGTCAAGCTACGACCACTACCAGATAGTCCTATGGCTACTTCACCAACTGGACGACAACATCCACCACTACCAGCACCACCTCGACCGGAACTACTCCACTACCTCTACAACCGCGACCAACTCCACGACTTTCTACACAAGGCCATTACTACCATCCTCTGCAAGAGCACCCAGTACTACGGTTTTACACTACTCACCATGACCAACCTCACCCAACACCACAAGGCACTACTACATCGTTTCCTTAGGGACTACGACCGACATATGTCATGCCCTGAGATAGACGACGAGAGGCTACGAGGCGCTCCAAACTACATGACAACCTTTTTCACCACCCACTACCACGCGACCTTGGACAGTCGACTACACATGGTCCAAGCCTACCGCGCCCAGAACTAGGCACTACATGCTTGAGCTCCTGCTCTACTACATTGAGTAACTGCCTCACGAATTCCATCCAGCGCCACTACACCGTGCTGGACCATGAACAGCGTGAACTACTGAGTGCAGGTTACTACCTTTTTGTCACTACAGTAGAATTGATGAACAACAATGGTTTTCATCACTACTGTCAGTCCATGTTTTGCACTTCAGTTGAGAAGGTGCTACAAAGACCTTTTAACTGAGGGGCCGTGTCAAACTACATGCTTCACTTCCTGCATTTGTGTTGCATGTATGTTCACTACTGCAGGCCTTGAGCTCACTACATCGCATGAGTCAAAAGGTTGGCAGCTGCAGACTACATTGGTTGACTGTTTGTTTGAACACTACAGCACTTGCACGTGTAAGTAAAAGTAGCAACCAATTTTAACGGGAGGGAGAGAGAGAGAGAGAGAGAGAGAGAGAGAGAGAGAGAGAGAGAGAGAGAGAGAGAGAGAGAGAGAGAGAGAGAGAGAGAGAGAGAGAGAGAGAGAGAGAGCGAGAGAGAGAGAGAGAGAAGAAAACGCAAAGAGCGCCGCTTTTTGGCTGTTTTTGAGCCTTGGTGCCCAAAAGCAAGTATATGTTTTCGCTACAAACTCGAAGGATTTGGGGGTGGGGCCTTGGGTGCGCCCCCCCCCCCAGCTTTGAGATCGTAGTCTTTGAATCGCACATGTGTTCTGTCTTTGGCTGAGCTGGCAGGAGAGTCAAGCAAAGGCCCAGGCCAATATTTGGATGGTTCTGGTGGGCGCTAGCTCGCAGCTCAAAGACCAGATCAATGCCTTCAGCAAGGCCATGAATGTGCTTCAGGCGGCCATGCAGCCCGAAGTGGTTGAGGTGAGGATGGCTTTTGCTGACTGGCTCTTGCGAAATGGTTTCCCTATCTCCGACGCCTTGGAGCAGTTGGGCGTTGCCTCCGACATGTTGCTGGACATCGAAGAAGGCTCCGAGGACGAAGACGAGGACGATGTGGGCGCCGACGCGTGGTTCTACGGGGGCGGCGGGGAGGGAGCTGGCAACAACGACGACGACGGCGGCAGCTCTGTGGCGCCCTCCGACTGGGACAAGAGCGAGTCTCGCTTCGGCAGCCGCAAAGGCGGAAGCCGGGCTGGCAGCCGACTGGGCGGCAGCAGCCGTGCCGGCAGCCGCAAGTCTGGAGGAAGCAAAGCTGGCAGCAAAGCTGGGAGCAAAGCTGGAAGCCAAAGCAGCCGCATGTCGAAAAAGAAGAAGAAGGGCGGGAAGAGCCGGAGCGTCACAGGCAAAAGCTCCATGGGCGGCTCCCGCGCCGGCAAGAGTTCCAGAGCAGGCTCCAGGGCGGGCTCCAGGGCGGGCTCCAGGGCCGGATCGCGAGCAGGGTCGCGTGCTGGATCTCGGGCAGGATCGCGAGCATCCAAGAGAAGTGCCAGTGTGGCAGCGAAGTCCAAGAAGCAGCAGAAGCAGGATGAGGATGATGAGGTGGAAAATGAGCTCTATGCTCACAACTTCGAGGCATTATGCCGCATTCACAGTATGCGAGCGCAGCTCGCCCACGGTCGAGAAGTTCATACAGCACTTCAAGCAGCATCTCACTTTGGGGTGCGTTTCTTCGAGGTGTCCATTGAGAACCTTCCAGCAATTGGCATCAAATTCTTATGTTTTCCAGTTGTGGCCGGTTTTTGTTTTGATGTGGTGAGTTTGCAAGCGATGCTTCATTTTGCCGCCGTTTTCACATTTCAATTCGCTGGCAGCATATGCAAGCGCAGGCTGGCCAACAGCTTCGCACAGGAGCTTCACAACAAGATGATCAAGGACCCTGCCAATGTTGTCAGCGTAACCTGTCGCGATCTCTGGGTACACTCTGAGAGACCAGCAAGCAGCCGAGATCAGCGTGTTGGTTGGAGTCGTTGGCCTCTCTCAGGAGCCCCCCGAGGTCTCGGACGAGGCCAGCGATGCTGGCAAGCTTGCGAGCGATGGTGGCAAGCTCGCCAAAAAGGCGCAGGGGGAGACCGGGGCTTCTAGGTAAGAAAAGCGCTGTGTAGTTGTTCCTATTGAATTGAAGACATGTTTGCACCCCGCAATGTGTAAGTGTTTCCATACACGTGACAACCCAATCGTTCAGAGTTATGTAAGCATGTTTGGACTGCTTGTCAAAGTAGTCGTTTGGTCAAAGGCTGAGCCTCTCTCTCTATGCGTTTGCCAGTCATGTCGCTGTGAAAGTTCAAGTAAAGCAACTGGGCAAGAGTGGCGTGAGCAAGAGTACCTTCACCCTGATGAATGCAAAGTGTGAGAGAGGAGCGGGGCCTCGCTTGTTGGCGTGTTTGTTGCAGGGCACACAGGCATCTCAGCAAATGCTGATACGGTATGACAAGGGTGTTGAATAGCTGGCTCTTTAGCTCGATCGCCGAGACCTGTTGCCATGAGTGCAAGGGCATTGACGAGAGGGCGTGATTGAGAGCATGCGTTGGTTCGCAGGCATGTGTGGATCTTGATGCGTGTTTGAACGCTGTTAAAAAGGCGAAGGTTCGTGAGTGGCCCTCTTTCTCATTGTGTTGCCGTGTTTTCCTTGAAGCATTTCAGGTGCACTTCATGGATGCTTCTTCAGAAGCAAAAGCAAGACAGCAATGTTTCTTGAAAGATGACCTTGTTGCTTCTTCAGAAGCCCAAAAACCGAGTGCTGTGTTTGTTTCGGGAGTCAACATCAAAACGCGTTTCTGCTGTTTTTCCTTTTTTTTTCTGAGGAGGAGAAAGAGCCCATCCACCTGTGCCCCAGCTTCAGCTTGCCGTTGCGTTTGGCGGACTGGGCGGACTTCGACGCGTGGCCCTGGCGAAGTGCGACGCTGCCGGAGGTCTTCAAAAGGGCAGAGGAGCGTTCCCACCCCCCGCTATGGGTGTGGGTCAAAATACCACCAGGCATGTTACCGCTTACCAGAGTTTCATTTTGGGTACCTATTTTTGACCCACAGCCAAATGACACGGAGTACACTCGCAAAAAACATGAAGACATGGGGGGGGAGGGGGGCTGGCCACATCCAATTCGGACACTATGAGCCCAGTTTTCCAGTATCACCCCCCCTTTCTCCCTTTTGTTGGGGAAGGGATGGAAGGGTTCCCCTTTAACTTTAAACTCTATCGAAAAACGGATGGCTCTGCCAGACTTCGGGTGAGGCCCAAGGCCTGGCGTGGAGCAGCGCTACGTACCTGGGCCACGCTGAGGTCTTCGCCAGGCCCCAGGCGCGGAGCGACGAAACAGAGGCGCTTTCTGTCCAACACGTCCTTTTGGTGTCCTACAAGGGGTCCGAGCAAACCCCATTTTGGCTGTGCGTCAAAACCAACGGTACCATTTTGGGGTAGGTGCACCACCCATTTTAGAACCTATTTTGGTGGGGATTGGGATGTTCGCTGGGGGTACGGGGTTTTGACCCATGGCCATTTTGAGCATCTCTTGAACCAATTTTGCATATTGCCTTTTGGGTGCCTGACTTGCGGACCGATCTGCATTTGTTTGTCACATTGTAGCGCCTTTGAAGGGAAAACAGGAGGTTGCTTAAACCACCGTGTTATAAACATGAGGGTCAGGCCACCCTGTCGACCAAAAGCAAAATGGGGAAAGGGAAAACGAAGTTTGAGCTGGGCGTTGGGAAGAACAAGTCGGGGTTATGAAAGTCGGAAGCTGATGGGTTGTTTCCCTTGCATCTGCCACTTGGCGGCTGACTTTGGATAGGGCCCGGGCTGAAGTGGGCAAAAGGAAGAAGCACCAGGGAAGGCTTTGCGCCGAGGCCAAACATCAATAAGCCCGATGAGCTCACTTTGGAGGATCTTCAGTTGTCTCCCTGTTTGTTTGAATGCGTTTTGAGAATCGTTTGCCTATTTGTTGGCTGTTTAAAGGGAACGAATTGCAGGAAGCCAAGGGTCAGATGCCGATGTTAGAGGGGCTGCAAGGCCCAGCTGTGGGTTGGCCATACATGTTGGCAAGTTTCCACTCTGGGGGAGGAGGCATGAGTGGCATGAGGCCTTTGTAAGCCTCAGTCGAAATGGCTGAATGCAGTCGCCTTTAGCCAATTTCAGTCTATCTCAAACTGCTTGCTTGAAGACTCTGTTTGAATGCTTTTAAAGCCACAAATCCCGAGGGGCGCACGATTTGGAGAATCACCCAAAGGGTAGAAGGCTCTACTCCTTGGTTGAGGAAGGGAATTTGGCGAGGGTAATACAAACCGTAGATTGTTTTGTTCCGAAAGTGAAACGTGACAGGTGTCCTTCTTCACGCTTTTGCTCTTGGAAGACGACCTGGAGGACGGATGACGATGATGGCTTCGGATTGGCGAACAATCCCACATAATCCCTCGATTCTCCCGCCCTTTTTTTGGGTCCTTTTCCGCTGTCCACCCGTTGTTCTCTCCCTTTTCCCATTCACTCTGTTTTCTCTGGTCCCATTCCCTACGGTTTTAAGCCCAATTTCCAGCGAAAAGTCCAGGAGCATGGGTACCACCTGTTGGCGCTGCCGATTTTGGCGCTGCACTGCCAGCTGGGCACGGCCTTCGAGAGCGGCCCGGTGCAGCTGGCAGTGCAGTGCACCGCCAAGCTGCGGCTCAGCCGCTTCGCGGCCCAGTGCCGCCTCCGGACAGCCGCCCAGAAGCTCCGAGAAGAGGCGCGGGATGGCGGGAAAGGCGGGAAAGGCGGGAAAGGCGGGATGGCGGGAAAGGCACCATGGGGTGTCCTTCTTTTTTCCCTTTAAACCAACCCGAAGAGGGTACCTTTCAGAAATACACGGATGTTGTCTGAAGATGGGCCGTTGGCATCTCCAAAGGCACGGCAATGGGGTCCAAGGCGCGAATCATGTTTGCCAACCCCTCCTGTGTCAGATGGCTGAAGGAGACTTGAGGGTTGGGAATGAATTTTGCCAGGTGGTTTGCTTGAAGCAAGTGTGCTTTAAGTTCAGAATAGATATTTGGGTTCAGTCGGTTTCAAGATGTCTCCGCACCGGACATCAGGTGGCCAAGGACTTGGAAAGCATCCCGGAGACCTTCTCCTCCTTCAAGGAGGAGCTGGAGCAGGCGGAAGACAGCTTCGAAAGAGCGACGTTGAATGCCGTGGGATGGTTCTATGATCAGAGTATACCGGGCATACCGAACGGGCAAGTCTTCAAGCAAACTTGCTCATTTGTAGACAGATAATTACTGAAAGGCATTTTGCCACTCGGAGATCAATTCGAGGTTGTGGGGCGTGCCTGGAAGACTTGTAGCACAACTTTTCAAGACCAACAGCAAGCAGCGATCATGTTCATGTTGTCTCGCAATGACCAGACCTCTTATTTAGATCAACGAAAAACGACCAACCTTCTTGCTTAGTCCTTGCGAAAGGAAACGATCAACGTTCAGGAGAGACATTCTGACAGACATACGTTTCTCGGAACGTTTTTAAGGACCTTTGAGAAGGTTGACCATTTTCTGGGGGAGCCTTGGTTTTTGTCCAAAGGAAAAGAGAAAACCGGGCAGACGGCCAGCCGCAAGGATTTGGGATCTCCAAATTCTTTGTCACCAGGTTCGGAGCCAGCGTGCGGGCCGCAAAGGTGCGGAGGCGCCGGACCCACCGTGGCTGGGCGTGCTGGACGGAGCCAAGAACGAGCGGCGGGTGGCCTGTCCCTGGCAGATCGGGACGCTGTACGCCTACCAAGTCTGGGCGGAGCTCAGCAAGGCACCGAGAAACCGAAGCCCACTTCCCGGCTCAGGGCAAGTAAGAATCGTCTTGAAAGCTACAAGTTGGGTGTTGGGGGCGGCAATGGACGTGGAAAGAAGCCCGATGGAAACGTTGGGCAACTTGAGGGGGTAGATGATCCGTCGAGCCGGAATTGGCTTCACGTGCAGACTGCTACTTCTACCATCCCAATCTCGACCACACATTCATGGGTTCATCCCAACCCCGGAAAAGCCAGTTCCCTTCACTTTCCCATCAAGCAACCCAACAGGAACATGGGTGTTGCTCTCGAAACCGAACCCATTTGCAATCCAGTGCTGCTTTTTGTTCTCTTGTTTGATGGTTCAAACATCACCTCTCCAAGTGAGTTCTGCTTTGAGGCGATGCTTACAGTTTGGAAATATTGGGAACCCTGATGGAATTGCCTAAGCCATTCCGCCACCTTATTTTTGGGGGTACGGGTGCCATGAAGTCTAAGAGACCAGCTCAGCAAGCCCAGCCCCAGAAGCCCTATACTCTGTGATTAGCCATGGTTAATATCATCATCAGGGACGTCGCGTTAGTGACCGACCTGTGGTGTTTTGGCTCAAGTTTTGGGTTCCGTCGCGCCTCGAATGGGCGTCGCCGAACCCCTGCGTCGACCGACGGCATCTCGGGGGAGAAAGAGACCTCGGGCCGCCGCCAGGTTGGTAGGGACCAGTCGTGCGGCCTGTTGTCGACCAAGGTTGCGGGTTAACCCTTTTCTTGTTTGGTTTGTTTTCCTTTGGTTGTTGTTCTCTGGTGTGTGGGAAACCCTGATCTTTGGGACCGGGGATTGGTTTGCTTTTGGGGAACCTTTCTTTTGTGGCTTGTTTACCCCAACTTACCCATTGCCTGGGCACAGGCTCGTGCCCGAATCACAGGTTATCAGCCGTAGGACTTTCCTACGCGCTTGAGACCATCAACTACAAGCTCTATGTCGACCCCACGATCTCGAAGGAGCGTCGTGGATGAGGAGGCCATCCTAGGTGGCCTCCGCTCAGGTGAGGACCTACCGGACTATGACTACGAGGATTTCGAAGCAGGTTCGACAGGTCAGGACCGCAGGGGTGAAGATCCCGGTAGGGATACACCCAGGAGCCGTGGCAGGTACGCCGACGATGGAGACGATCGTATTTTCCGCCAGGCCACTGATGACGAGCAGACACGAAGGGTTTACTCCGATCGGAGTGGCTCTGAATCAGGTCACAGGCGTGGACGTTTTGACTTCATCAGCATGGCGATGGATGGCCCGCCCTCATTCGGATGACCCGGAGGCCATGCCGATTCGACCTCCGAGATCTCTTGTTCCAGGTGAGTGGCAGGTCTCGGATGAGTTTGAGAATAGGCCGCAGGGACCAGGGACTATGGCTCTGGCTCCGGGAGGTATCCCGGGCCGATCCACTGGTTCTCAGAATCCAGGTCAGTTTGATGAGCACGAGGAGCGGAAGTTCTCAGACTTCGGATACGATGATCTGTTGAAATCGACCGCAGGATGGGGCAGTAGCTCAAAGCAGGGATCTGATGCCGGTAGGCCCAACCCTATTACTGCCAAATCTGAGTCTTATGATGGCGAAGATTACAATTTTGCGGATGAGGAGGAGAGCCATTCGCGCCGAGATGCAGGCAGCCGTGAGACTGCAAGGACTAGTCCTGCCGCTGCCAAGTTTGAGGTCGATGATGATGACGAGTATGCCGCATTTGCGGATCGCCGTGATGAGGAGGAGGACCAACCACGACGAAATGCTAGGATCCGTGATGCTGCGAGGCCCAGGAGCCTCTCTCGTGGAGCCGCCAGGGACCTTCGTGTTGACAGGGACGGCCGAAGCGAGAGAGAGAGAGCCAGGGACAGTCGGGAAGTTCTTCGGGGATTGGAGGCTATCCATGACCGTGAGGGACCGGTAGGTCCCCCGGCGATTGGTGATACCCCGAATGTTCCCCCTTTTCCTAACATTACTTTTGGAGGTCCGTTGGATCAGAGAGACGTGAACTCGAACCGGGTTACTGGTTCGCCGAGGATCACCGAGCGGGTTGCCGATGTCGTTGGGAGAGGTGCAAGAGATGGCCGGCTTGCCGATGCACTCGGAATCGAGGATCATCCGTCGATCGCTAGCCCGTTAGGGCGAGATACTAGTGACCTTGAAACACTTAGGTCTAGCAACGAGTTCACACCTCAGTGGGGCTCGACCGCTAGGGAACGTAGTGCTTCTGCGAAGAGACCGTCACCCCTGGCCATTGAGACCGATAGGTCAAAGGCGAGGAGGGCTAGCCCCTCACCAATGGATTCAACTCCGCAGGATGAGGAGATGCCTGATCCTGCTGATGTTCACATTCACTCCACCCCCGAGTCACGTGCATCCAACGTTGATCCCCGATCTGGCGATAGCCGGAGAAGGGGATCCACCCCGAGTAGGCCATCCAGGATTGATGATTGTCCCGTAGATGACCCAAGAAGGCATGCCGGGGCTAGTAGGGCTCCTGAGAGGATCGAGATATCGACTCCTCCCGCCCTCAGATCTCAGTCTTCTGGCGAATCAGGTGACGTCAGGGCAAAGGAGATGTTCGAGTTGCACATCCAGGAGATGCTCGAAAGGGGTGAGGTTTCTGGCTCAGTCGCGAAGGCGTTCCATATCTTTGCTGACCAAATCAGGGTACTGAACGGTCAGGTGAGTTCCATGCGAAGGGAATGGAGTGACGAGAGCCGACAGACGAAAGACAAGGTCGATCGCCTGGCAGCTGAGGTTGCGACTCAATCTGATGCCGGGAGGATGCGTATGATAGTTCAACGGTTTGCAAGGGAAGTTATTCCTGACAGCAATACCATTGTGAGGCAAGCCATCGATGAACAGGCTGAAGTCGTCGAGCAGAGGATCAATCTGCTTTCCCACGAGATTCACGAATCTGTTAAGGACAGTGAACTCGCAACAGATCAGCTTCGCCAGAAGATTCACGAAAATAGTGAGGCTACCCGCAGGAGCCATGCTGCTTCCGAGGACGAGATCCTCAAGGACTTGGATAAGCTTGAGAAACGGATGTTCTCGGTAGAGAAAACCGTCGGGATGCGGACGCCAGCAGGTATATGGAACCCGAATCCTGTCGCGCAACCGTCCGATAGGGCCAGCAGCAGTGTGGTTGACGCGAATTTCAGGGAGTTAAACCTGAAGATTGAGAAAGCTCTCCTTGAACACGAGAAGTTTGCTAAGTGGGCCTCCGAATCTATTGAAGGCATAAATAAAGAGCATACCCTTCTTTCAAATCGGATGTCGAGGCTGCAACACGGAAGGGGATCCCAGGAGGTCGATAGACCATCAGGGCATGATTCCCCGCAGGATTGGCATGAGGCGATTGGCGAGGTCAATCGGAAGATTCAGGACCTAGCGCGCGGAGTTCAACGTCAACGTCGGGATCATGACGATATCATTTCAAGGTTTGAGACCTTGAAGTCCCGTGTCGAGCGGTCTGAGTTCTGAATCAAGTTCTTGATGATATCAGGGGGCAGATTCGTAGCCTTCCGGTAAGTACTGAGCAGGCACGGTCTGTCGTTAGGCGCGAGTTGGAATCATTCCGCAACACACTTGAGGCCTCGGTGAGGAGGATCAACAATGTTGAGAGTAACATTCGTACTCTTAACGGAATGAACAACAGGATCATGGCTCAGCTCTTTGAAATCGAAGGTCATGTTGATGAGGCTGCTGTCATTATTCAGGGTGCCCGAGACGATCAGGCAAATCCCCCGCAGCCTAGAGAGAGACGGAACGTTGGGTACGACGCTTTCGCGGGGCAAGGACACAGGATCAGGTCTCCGACGCCCACTCCCGGAGAAGGAAATGGTCAGGGTACTGGCCTTCCGGTGAGACCGGGCGGACGCGTTGATTTGGTTGATCACGCTTTGCCAGGTGTGCCCGGTAGGGTCGATCCTTCTCGTGCAGACAGGCATCCCATATATCCCGTTAGGGAGAGGTCCGACAGCAGAAGCCGGAGGGCTCGGGGATTGCCTGACAGGTCGCATTCACCGCCAGGGCGTGCGAGGGATGGCCCCCGCGCGCGCGCAAGGGGGGACATTTCTGTTTCTCCAAATAGGGATGTGGGTAGGAATAGGAGCCCGAGGCCTGCCGCCGTCCCCGATAGGGGATCTGAGGTCCGAAGTCGGCAATCAAGGGGGGAGAGGCCAATCCGCGATAGCGGGAGCATCTCTCCGAACCTGGATAGACCGATCCGCGATAGCGGGGACGTCTCTCCGAACCCAGACCGTCATCCAGGAGGTGGTAGGGGTATTAGGGCCCATGCCGATACCCAGAGTCCCGGCGATGATTGGAGGACTCCTGGGAGCAGAGCTAGTGCAGACGTCCCGAGTCCCGGCGAGAGGTGGAGGACCCCTGGAGCTCCATCTGATCGTGGACAGGCCTCGGCACCGGCCACAAGAGGCGCTCCCGGTGCCGGTGGCCCAGGTGTGCCAAAGATTTGTGCCCTCGATGACCCCAACGACCGTAGGCACCCGGACGCTGCATTTTCGTGTGTTACATGCAATCGTGAGTTTTGCAGGCTTTGCCGGGGCGATGATGGTGACTGTAGTAATTGTCAGTTTTTGAAAATGAAGTGCTGGGCATGTCGCAAGAATGCTCAGGAGGTCTCCATGTATTTCTGCACGGATTGTGGGACCCACGTCTGTGAGAATCACAGTTACTTTGGAGATGACGGCCTTGAGCGATGCGCGCGCTGCAATATTCGGCATGAACGCGCTCAAGCTGGACCGCCCCCTCCTCCTCCTCCTGGGGGAGGTGGTGGGCAAGGCGGACCACCTGGTCAAGGCGGGAGCGGAAGCGGTGGTCATGGACATGCTCCACTTCCACCACCAGGTCCTGGACATCCTGGCGGAGGCCAAGGTCCCACTGGGCCCCCTGGCGGCCCGAGTGGAGGGGCGCCCACCGGGGGTTACCCTGGTGGAGCACCCGGGTTCCATGGCAGTGCTGCTGATACTCATG